ACAGGTAGGAGGGAACAGGTAGGAGGGAACACACAGACAGGAAACCAAAGACAGATCTAGACAAGACAAAACACAACACAGACAGATCGTGACACCTATGGGACAGCACAAATGTTGAAGGACGACGCAGATACAATAGGCACATAAACCTCCCGAGAGCACTAACAGACAGAAGCACAATCGTTTCCTGCTGACATAGAGGCATACTTGCCAACCTTTAGACCTCAGAAATCGGGAGCATTTCAAAATGCAAAATTGGGGGGGGTGGTGCTAGTGGATCGCCGGAGCTGTTAGATTAACATTAACATGCTTATTGTAGTTGTAAGTGCACTGCCTTGCGGCCTGTAGCACCGTCCTTGATGGAGCATATGTGTGGGCAGGAAAGGAGTGAGCAGAGAGTAGAGTAGTTGTCGATCCTTGTTCTGTTTTCTGTGACTATATCTGCCTCACCCTGTCAGACTTTGAGTTGCGCACGCTACTAAAGAGACGTGTTACCATGGAAACCAAACAATGGTGTAGCTGTATTAAAGTCAGAGTGGAAACAGTCGTGTGTAAATCTGATTTAGTCAGAAATCAGGAGAAATGCGGGAGAAATATGACCCCGGGAGGAAACCGGGAGAGGGCAATGAAATCGGGAGTCTCCCGCGAAAATCGGGAGGGTTGACAAGTATGCATAGAGGAGGGCAGTTTGTGTGCTCGCTCTTTCACAACGCTTCTAAACCCTTACTCTTTGACAGAAAGTGAAACAGGTCACCTTGAATAATACAGGGTTAGTACAGGGTTACCCGAAAAGATGCCATTATATATAAGTTCAATTGCAGCTTGACCACAGTATCTATCTTATAATTATAATTAGAGTATAGATTTATACCATGGTTCAGAGGGTCACCTTGGATGGGATGGTCAAAGATTTGTGGACTTTTGAGAAAAAACAGTCAGCAGGCGCTTTGGGGTTTTAGCATCGCTAGCAGGGACGGCAATGTTGGTCTGTCCGTCAGTCCACCATTTATGTCCCTATTAAGGATGAATTACAATAACTTTGGTAATCGACTGACTCTTTATCAAACACCACCATCAACAGGTTGAAATATCAATGTGTTTTTTACTCACTTTCTGCTAAATGACATTCATCCTCAGCTGTACTTTGTGTTCATCTCTATTTCAAACCAATAGGCATGTGCTTACACTAAATTAAGATTGTGAACTTGATAAACATTATACCTAGCATTGGCATTGTAAGCCTCATAGTTGTTTACGTTAGCATTTAGTGTCAAGTAACAAATGGCTGATAAACAAAGTATGATCTCTGCCAGTTATAAAGAACTGAAATGTGTAAGTGTTATTCAAACAGTAAGATGGCAGCGTACTTGCTTACATTTCTAGATTCTGCATTCAATTTAAGTAGCTATGCTAGGGATTGTGTGTCTTGTTTGGTTGAGAGCAACCCATCAACTCTCGGCACACTAGGAGTTTACGTACGGTGCTCATTAGACAAAGGTTTGAAAATATTGCTGACCTCGCTCACATAAATCAATCTTGCAAATGATTAAATTGTGAGTCGGTCGTAGTCAAAGAGTGTACTTTTGGCTGTTTCAGTATCGAGTCTCTATTTCACATTCCATGAAAGCACAGGCGAAAGTGCTCCATGATAAGAGCAGGATGTGATGTAAGCACAATCTTTATCTGCAATAATATTGGGGAAATTAAACCCAGACATAAAGATGTTTGTCAGCCCTAAAATGTCCTCTTGTCCCATCCTAGATTTAATGTTCTACACAGTGCCAAATTTCACTCTTGGTAATGTTTCACTGTGTTTTTTCCATTTGTCCACATCTAAACACCACATCCCTCTACCTTGTGATCCCTGCAATTTCCTTCCCATTATTTTGAATCATTCCCCTGTTTCTGGTTTGACCGCATCATTTTTACTCTGTCTACTGTCTCCTGATGAGGTTGACCACCAGACTCACGCTCTCGCTCTGCTCTCCGGTCTCTTCCAGCGCAAATGCTCCAGAGAGCCAGACCACAAGCCTCAATTACCCAGCATTCCTTGGAGAGGACGAGGGAGGCCTCATGTAGCAGACTATGAAATTAACATTCATTACAAACCTCTAAAGCCACACAACTATTTAATGAAAGCAATAGTAGCAGAAGTTTACCATTGAGAAGAGTATCTCTCCTTTTATTTCATTAATTTTTTCTTGCTGTTTTTTGTTTCTGACTAAGAGGACAGTACAAGAAACCGTGATATTCTGCCTTACAAAGCTACAACTACATTGAGTCAAAATGTAGACATTTATGATACGATTTGAATTTTTTTTTATTGCCATATAAATATATAATTTCAAAGACAGCAGCATGTTTTGTTATGTTGTTGTTATGTTAGCAGTGAAACAGACCTAAGCTAGTCAGGAGCAAGACATAGTTAGCATTGATTGATATGAGCCACTGATATTCCCCCACTAGTTGTCTCCTGTAATCAAAATGTATACATTTTGGTGAACTAAATAATAATAATGATCATATTATTATTATTATTGCACTGTCCCTCTTAAACAAGGCAGCATCACATAGTCATGGAGAAAAATGAGTCCTGCTAACAAGCTAAGTAGCTAACATAGCAGAGGAGCAACATGGTGCCCAGGTTAGCTTTACATTGCATCTTTTTTCTTTCTTAAAAATTAACTCAGACAGACTGCTAATGCATAGACAAGGATTTTAATGTTTCACTTTTAAATCTTTTTCAAGAACAAATCGCTGGCTTCCCCATAGATTTCACACAGAGCTTTTCAATAATATCCCATGATGCTTTGCATGTGTATTAAACAGCAGTTACTGTAGCCCGAAACAGCATTTGCTAAAAGGCAACATACTTATAGTACAAATACTTGTCCTATCATACAATTGTCATCCGCAGAAGAAGCCTTCACACAAATCGACTATTTCCTTCTGTCTTATGCACTGTAAAATCCATAAATGAAATCCTGCTGATTTCCTAAGGAGGTTGAGTGGTGAGGTCATGGGATACTTGTCGTTTATGTGTTTCATCGTCACTTGTTTCATTACACTGGAATTTCAAAATATTTTCCTTTACCAGGTTCCTTGCCTAAAAAAAACACTTTTTTTATCAGGTTTGTTTGTTTAATCCTCACTCACACTGCTTAACTATAACAAACTTTTCTCATATAAGATTTTTCCTCCACAGCTTGTGAGGAACCTTTTCATTTGAGTACTTTTTGGATTGGCTGTGCTGAACCAAAAGGAGCTGGAGTATGATTTTAATTTTGTATATTGATAAAAATAATCCTCATCAGTCTGCAAATTACAGGAGCTGTAGCGACATTTAACTGCAGAAGATTAATGGCAGTGTTTGTGGCTACATGTCAAATTAGCCGAGTGGTTTTCATTATCAGGACATAAATTGTGATATTGTCAGCCTGCCAACATTTATAAATCTGCTGACACTGCATCAGCTTTCCTGTGTTTGTTTGGGTCATCCTCTGTCACAGTTATACAAGCACAGTTCATACTATAAATCTCAGATGAATAAATCTCTTAATTACGCTTTACAGTTTGGAGTCACAAGTTACATCACTTTCCAAATATATATAACAACACAATATAAATGCAGAATGAAGCTCAAACATGTTGAAGCAGCCCATTGAAGCTGTTGCTTGAAGCTTTGTTGAAATGTTAATAAAACCTTTTTTTTTGCTTTTTACCCATCTGCATGGCACACTTTGGAAGAGCATTCTTAACTTCTTAAAAGACAAAACTCTCCTTTTAGACTCATCCCATGGCAACTATTACATTATCACAATCAGTGTACAAACTATTCATTGTTGATCATAGGATTGGCACAATTCAAGCCACTTCATGCAAATCACATCAATACCAAATGTGTATTTTGTTGTTTTGGAGAAATAGGCGATTCAAAAGAAACATGTGATTTGAATAATCAGAGAACAAATGAAGCTGAATGAGTTTAAATCTGTGAGCCATCTCGGACAATCCCTTAGTTCCTGAGTGTAACAGGCCAAACATAAATTAAAGACGATTAAACAAATGTAAATAAAGCTCCTATACTTCTGATACTTACGCACTTAATGTCTTTGCATGTTTGAAAAACAATTGGATGAATGAAAAGTAAATACAGTATGCTTAACGCACATACAAACATAAGAAGCATTGATGGATGTACAGTAAAGATGAAATGAGTCAATCTGATGCATATTCACATTCTTTAATCCAGATTTCCTCTCTAAACAGGCTGCATTCAGAGGAATCGGGCCTGTGAAAGAAGTAAAGAAGTCAAGGGTAGGAATGACAAAATGATTACAGTACATGGTGAAAGATGCATATCAAATTTAGTTTTTTTGCTTTGACACAATCTGCTTAATCCTTCTAAATCAGCCTTCTCTGGATATGACCCTTCATCAATGCTCATCAGGCTTGCAACAACTATATTTAAGGATTTGTATCCAAATAAAAAAACATAGTTCTTGAATGTGTGTCATTGACTGGGCTGGCAATAATAATATTTCTGAAAAACATGAATTTAAGTATTTTAAACACTATTCATTTTCTAATTTTGTATTGTTTATGTTATTTGTATTTAGTCAGTGCACAGTGTGTTCTTCCATCTGATCTTACAGTACTTTACTACACAGCAAAAAGCATAGAACTGCATTTTAAAGCTTACAATGTGATACATACAAAATATTACTTATAGAGCCTGTGCTTCAAGGAACAGACAGAACGTTTCAGAAGCTACCCAAAAATAAACTCATCATACTGTATTTCCTAAAGGCACCTTAGACAAAGATATATCCCTGTGCTTGAGGGGTTAAAAAGGTTTGAGATTTGAAAAGGAGATAGGAGAAGCCCTTTCCTCTCAAGAAGCCTTACCGCTGCATGGAAACACTACATCGCCACAGGAAAGGCTGAATAGTAGATAGATGGCGTGTTCATTGCATTTGAACTATTCTGTTACTGATTGTCTAAAAGCATCACTTAAAGACTTCGATTCATTTCTGTAAAATTACAAGATTTGCTTTAATTCCTTTTTAAATATGGGAACATGTGAAAAAATGCCTTTCCAGCATAAACAACTTTGCATCGAACTGCATTTCTGCAAGCGGGTATATTTCTAAAACATGCATGGGGAAAACTCTCCTGATCATGCAGATATCGTCTCTGGATTTACACTCCACAGTAGGAGGTTAAAAAGACAACAACACAAACATATATAAAACAATAAAACAAACAAAGAGACAGGTTAAACAGAAGTAAAAACAGTGTCCAACAAGCTCTGTCCTGCCTCAGCAAAAACAATCCCCCCTGACATGCTGGTGGAGGAGGTTATCTTCCCCTGCTTTCTTTGTATCCTCTCCCCATTTTAAACTGATCCCAAACTAACAGCCCAGTCTTAAAAAGTAATCCTCCTGTGCATCATCATCACGTCTCCCTACTCCTCCTTTCATCCCATTTTAGGTCTTCATTCTCAGGCTGGACAGGCGTGCTCCCCCTGCAGGCAAGAGGTTGGAACGACGCTGTATTCCCAACCAGACAAGGGGGGAGATGGTGCCTCCGGTTCCACCGATGGGGGTTAAAATTGGAAAGTCACTGGGATTGATTGGGCAAGTAAGTGGAGCGGGTGCTGGGATCACACCCTGCTGGTCGGGTGGCAGCGGTAGGTGCATGTGGACAGAGCGTCAGCGTCGCCATCTACGTTCGGGGAGCAGCCTCCTTCGCAACAAGCCTCTGAGAGGGAGAGAGGACATGCTATCAGCACTGTTTGTCATTAAAGCCATTACATGTGTGACATTAGATTACAACAGATAGAGTTTTTCACTGTGAGTGGCTAAAGTGTTGCTTTTTAACAGTGAGTGTGTGAGATAAACAAATAACTCTGCTGCCGAGGTAATATAGCGACTAGAAACTAGACTCCAGTGGGTACCTGGCAGGGTGGGGCTGGGTCCCTCGTGGCTGGTGCCCAGCTGGAGACGCCTCATGTGACGGACCACTGCTGTGGCATTGAATGCTTGCTGCAGAGGAAAAGACACACATGGAATTCAAGTGAGAAAACTGTAGAATCTCATTACACCTGAAACTGAAAGTTGACTAACTGGGATTAGGTGAGCAGACTAAAGCAGTGGTTGCTGATATGTTTATGTACAAATATACCTTCTCAGACTGTTTAATTTAAATAGTTTCTAGAGGCTCCAAGCCTGTACATTATTCTGGTAGAAACTAGCAAGGATTAAAGAAAATATTTCAATATCTAATAATAATTTAATACACTAAAATCCAATGCCAGAGGTTTGTTTTTTCTTATTTTCCACACTGGAAATTGTCTCATGACCCCATGGATTCATATTGCGACCCTTGATGGGGTCCCAATCCCACTGTTTGACACTACTGGCCTATCATTTGTGACAAACCAATAATGTTTCTAGCGACACAATCAATTACCCAAAATGAACTTGAAAAAGGTACTGTACTTAACTGTGCTTTCTGAAGTTTAGAACAAGACTGGACTGTTTATTGTAGTTAAAGTGTATTCTCTTTACGTACACTAAAGATTCAGAAAGTTAAAAAATAAGACGGTGTCTAGGATAAACTCAAATTATGACTCACCTTCCACTTGCTCTTGGCAAAATTCTTCTTAATCTGAGCGCTAACAGACTCATGGATGTTCTTGTCCAGAGCAGTATCCTCAGCAATCCTACAAAACAAAGGGGTACGGAAACTTCAAGAGTTTGTGTGCCACGGGTAGAAGTCACATATTCATAAGCACCAAAATGCATAAGACTCTCAACCTGGATTAGTGAAGACAAGTAAATCACTGAAGTTTGAGTATCCAGGTTTTACACAGCATCATGATAAGAGGAGTTACAGTATGTTATAGTCAGTACCAGGGGTGCTGCAGAGCCTGATCACAGGTGTAACGCGTGTTGGAGTCTTTTTCCATCAGGTGGACGATGAAGTCTTTAGCTGTAATCAAAGAGAAAGGTTGGAAAAAGTCAATATTAAAAAAGACACCCGTTGCATTGATGTAATCATATTTCAGTTATGTTAACAAGAAAAACACATCTTGAGGTAATTAATATGACAGAAAAAGTGGACGATGTATAATTTGTATAATTTGTTCCTAATGTTGAAGATGTCCTCGCCAAAAGCAGGGAAACAGGGATCAAGTACAGAGCCAGGACTCGGGGAAAAACATGTGATCATTGCCTTGGCTTGTGGGCTCACCACCTGTGAGGTCAGAAGGCAGGGACTGGATCATTTACTATCTTAGAAAAGTGAGTCTGGAAACTCAATCTTGGGTAGGGGTGTTTTTTTTCAGGTGGGTGAGTGGATACTAAAGAGCCCTGGCTTCCTATAGTGTTGAAAACAGGAAAACTCCATTGTTGTTTGCACAGTAATGTCCCAAACAGCTGTTAAAAGTATTTAGTTCTCTTAAAGGAGAAGCTGCAGGAGAGGACTTTGTTTAAAAATGTCATCATATTGCAGTATTTTATATATTTTAGACATGCGTCGAAGTATACAGACCCAGGACCGTTTCCAAGCTAACCTGAGATCTGGAAAGTTGTTTTCAAAAAGATGATGCTGCTTTTATCATTGTTTTGTCCTTTACTAGGTCTCGGGAAAAAAAACGAATAAAGATCGTAATGCACACTTAAGCATCTGCAGATCTAAAGATCATTTACATGTGTGTAAAAAAAGCATCATGTCTTTAGGATAGAAGTGAATACAAAATAGATTGATAAAAGCACTGAACCTGAATCAGAGATATCGTCCCAATAAGGCGAATCAAATTCGTATTCTGCCTTCAGGATCTGTTCGAACAGTTTGGCGTCGTTCTCATCGTAGAACGGAGGGTAGCCGCACAACCTGAGACACACATCAGAGCACAGGAGATTCAAATGACATTCACTGAAGTTTTAAAAAGCAGTCAGCAGCATGCAAAACTAGCAGGTGAATATTATACATTAATAATGTGAAGATATACAGTATATTCATCCTGTGTTTGGCTCGGTTTACGTTTGAAAAACTCACAGAATATAGGCTATGACACCAATGGACCAGCAGTCCACTGCTTTACTGTAGGGTTTCTGAGCCAACACCTCAGGGGCTGAAAGGAGAAAACAAGACACATGTTTCATGATGTTTGACGCAAATGCAGCACTAATAGTATGTCACCTTTGTATTTAAGCATGCAAGTCAAATTAGAGTAGGACCGTGGTTGCAAAAGTAATTACCAAATTAAACTGGATTATTTTTTAACTAGGCTAAACTGATTCATGACTTTGAATATCTCTATGAGCTTCCAATTAGCTGTTGATGGTATTTAATGAAAGATTATGCATTACAGTACCAGTCGGATATTTGCATTGTGCTAATATTGAATGTTACAGTGTTCCCAAAATGATTAATTCGAGCAGATTTTCAAATTTCAGACAGTCATTGACGTCTTTACCAACATATCCAGGTGTTCCACACGCGGTCGACATCACACTGCCAGAGCACTCGATTTTAGACAGACCAAAGTCACTGATCATGATCTTGGAGTCGTCCTCCATGCTGTCGTACAGCAGATTCTCTGGCTGCCATCAGGAGGGACAAAACCAGAAATGTTGATACATATACACAAATAATGCGTTTCTTATCACACAAATGCACTTTTCGTTAAAAATGGTCAGTGACATTTATATGCCTGCTAACTTTCCCATCATATTTTAGACTGACCTTGAGGTCACGGTGCACAATGCCCATGTCGTGGAGGTATTTGACGGCATCCAGAATCTGCTGAATGAGCTTACTGGCATCTTTCTCTGTGTAGAAGCCCTTCTCGATGATACGATCGAAGAGTTCCCCTCCCGACACCCTGAGTCCATGAGGGAGAAATTCATTCAATAAAACAAGGGGAAGTTTGTGGAACATAGAGAAAAGTACAGAGACAACATGGCATATAATGTGAGCCCATTGATTAACTGACAGAGCTAAAGGATTACATTGTTGTTAATGGTTGTGAAGGGGTGTGGATTGTGTATGCAGTTGGCACATATGTATCACTTGTATTTATCAGAGTTCCTAAAGAAAAGATAATCATAATAATAATAACTTTAATTTATATAGCGCCTTTCATCAACCCAAGGTCGCTTAACAAAGAAACATATAAGGACAAAACATAAAACGGGGCAGAAAT